CTTCTAAACACTAACACCTTCCACAGTCTCCCCTCCTCCCATCCCATCAATCATCACCAGATCTTCATTAAAGGTAAGTGTCAATTATTCTATTGTTATTAATCTATTGTTATTGTAATTATTCTATTGCATTAAACTTAATATTTCATGAGGTGAAGTTTTTTTTTCATACTTTTGGGTGTCTTGCACATATTAATTTGATTTCCATTATTTCTTATGGGGAAAATTGATTCGCTTTCCAATAATTTTGGTTTACGATGAGCTCTCAGGAACGGATTAATATCGCGAACCGGGGGTCAACTATACAGTGGACCCCCGCATAACAATCACCTCCGAATGCGATCAATTATGTAAGTGTATTTATGTAAGTGCGTTTGTACGTGTATGTTTGGGGGTCTGAAATGGACTAATCTACATCACAATATTCCTTATGGGAACAAATTCAGTCAGTACTGGCACCTGAACATACTTCTGGAGTGAAAAAATATCGTTAACCGGGGGTCCACTGTATAAGTCTTATAGGTAAGGCTCGGCAGGGAGTGTCTTCCAGGACTTTGAACTCTACTTGGAGAAAATTGTGGCCAGAATGTGTCCTCAAGGATTTTGAAGGGTTTGAGGCTGACCCTGTCAACCCCCTGCCTGTTGTGGAATCTAGTGTGTCTTTGCAGAAGTCCATGGGGTGGAGGTGAGTGGCAAGGATGTGGAAGAGTTGGAGGAGGATCACAGGGAAGAGCTAACCACTGAAGAGCTGCAAGACCTTCATCTGCAACAGCAACAGACCACAGCTGAGGAAACTGGTTCAGAGGAGGAGGAAGAGAGAGGGGAGAATGTGCCTTCTTCAGTGATTAAGGACACATGTGCAAAGTGGAAGGAGTTGCAAAATTTTGTTGAAAAATATCACCTTGACAAAGCTGAAACAAGCCATATCTGCAACATGTTCAGTGACAAAACCTAGTCCCACTTCAGGCAAATTTTAAAGAGACGCCAGAAACAAAGCTCTCTGGACAGTTTTTTGGTGCTACGGGGGTGCAGTGACTCTCAAGCTGGCCCTAGTGACAGTAAAAGATAAAGAAGGGATGTAACCCCAGAAAGGGCTTTGATACCTTTAGTCCTTATAGAGGGAGATTTCCTTTCCAAACAATCACTCCTACCTCTCTCTTCCTCCTTGCCTTCCATAAGTCAACAAGAGACTTGAATAAAGGTACGTAATAGTGATTTAAATGTTCATTTATTTATTTTATTTAGCTCTCATTATTTTGTGTATATAAAACTATAATTAATCTTTAAAAAATGTATTTTTTTTTAATATTTTTGGGTGTCTGCAACGGATTAATTGCATTTACATTAATTCTTATGAGAAATATTATTTCGGTTTTAGGCCCACCTTCTGGAATGGATTACAGCCGATAACCGAGGGTCCACTGTACTTCGATTACACCATGGCAAACACAATTGTTTCACCAAGATCACGCCTACACCAGTGGAAGGAGACAACTGTGGCCGAGATGTATCTTTCCTTTGCCACAGTAATGCTTATACCACATGTGTATTAGCACAGTGTCAAATCATACTGGTTGACAGACCGCCTGATTGCAACCCCAGCTTTTGGCGATATATTACCAGTGAATCGATTTGTGTTACTATTACGTATGCTACACTTCTCAGACAAAACAAGGCCTGACAGAAAAAATAGGTTATATAAGATTAGGAATGTGTTTATGAATCTGAAACAGAAATTCTCCATGTATTTTTATCCCTTCAGGAAGCTTGTTATTGACGAGTCTTGGATTTTGTTCAAAGGTAGACTGCTGTTCAAGCAATATATACCAAGCAAGAGGAAATGCTTTGGTATTAAGTTGTTTGTACTTTGTGACTGCTACAGTGGTCTTATATTGGATATTATTGTGTACACTGGAAGTACATATTGTAAGATACCAGGAAGTTATTGGGTATCTTTGGTGATGTGGTTAGAACAATGATGGAACCATATCGTTGTAAGGGGCATATATTATACACTGGTAACTGGTACACAAGCCCCTTACTCAGTGATTTTTTGCGAGTGAACATGACAAACGTGGGGGCACAGTGTGTGTAAATCATCAGCATATGCCTAGGTTCGAGTTTGGCATGTGTAGAGGTGCCAATGACATCATAGCATTTTGGTGGCATGACAAACGAGATGTCGCACTGCTAACATCAATTCACCAAAACAAAATGACAGACACTAACAGGCAGAATAGAGGGGCCAATGAACCCATTCTAAAACCTGCAGCTGTGATGAACAACACCCTCAATATGCACTCAGTGGACAAATGTGACAAGCAAATTGGGTTTGCTGATTGTGTTTGCATGAGTTACAAGTGGTACAGTGGAACCTTGGTTTTCATGATTAATTCGTTCCAGAAAGTCTGATGAAAACCGAATTGTACAAAAACTTAAGTAATATTTCCCATAAGAAATAAATCCAATTAATCCGTTCCATACACCCAAAAATATTAACAAAAAATACATTTTATAGAGAATAACTACAGTTTTACATACAGAAAACAATGAAAAATAAATATAAATGACTAATGAAATGGATAAATGAACATTTAACATCACTTTTACCTTTATTAAGGACTCTCGTTGGCATATGGAAGATGGTGAGGGAAGAGGGAGGAGGAGAGGTTATTGTTTAGAAGGGGAATCCCCCTCCATAAGGACTTCAGGTATCAAGGCCCTATTCGGGGTTACTTCCCTTCTTTGTCTTTTACTGGCACTAGGACCAGCTTGAGAGTCACTGGACCCCTGTCACAAAGAAAATCTGTCCAGAGAGGTCAGTTTCTGGTGTCTCTTTAAGATTTGCCTAAAATGGGACAAAGCATTGTCACTGAACATATTGCAGACATGGCTTGCAAAAGCTTTGTTAGGGTGATGGTCCTCCACAAATGTTTGCACCTCACTCCACTTTGCACAAATGTCCTTAACCCTTAAACTGTCCAAACGTAGATCTACGTCTGCGCGCGTAGCGCTCCGACCTTGATTTTCTCCATAAGAAATAAGGAAAAAAAAAGTAGATCTACATTCAGAGCGCTACACGAGCCACCGTAGATCTACGTTTGGACAGTTTAGGGGTTAATCACTGAAGAAGGCACCTTCTTCCCTCTCTCTTCCTCCTCTGAAGCAATTTTCTCAATTGCAGTCTGTTGCTGTACCAGTAGAAGGTCTTGCAGCTCTTCAGTGGTTAGCTCTTCCCTGTGGTCATCCACCAACTCTTCCACATCCTGGCCACTCGCATCCAACCCCATGGACTTCCCCAAAGACACAATAGATTCCACAATAGGTGTAGGGTCATCAAGGTCAGCCTCAAACCCTTCAAAATCCTTCTTGAGAACACATGGTGGCTACTTTAGCAGTTGGACTCAATAAACAAACGCAAAAAACAATGGATTATTACAAAATGTTATCTGAACGCGTGGGGTAATGCTCACCCAACGAGAAACATAGCCAGACCGAGTCAGAATGTGTGGGATGCTTTGTGTGGGCGCAGGCAGGCGGACGCATCTGGTACAGCAGACCATTGTCATCTCTATGAAAACTGAGCAAATGTACAAAAACTGGGATAAAATTTTGACAAAAAAAAAAAAAAAAAAAAAAAAAAAAAAGTCGTCGAAAACCGAATCCTATGAAAACCAGGGTATACGAAAACCGAGGTTCCACTGTACATAAAACCCTTTCCTCATCTTCTGGAAATTTCCATGCTCAGTCCTTATAATTTGTATAACTTGAAAACCATAAACAAACCACCACATGGTCAATTTTGTTCGTCTGTCATCAGACAAATATTATTCAAGTACCAAGTAACAACAACTGCAATAGAGCACCACCTGTGAACTGATCAACAACTACCCTCTCGTCTGAGGCCTGGTGATCACTACCCCATACAACTGCCTCCTACTACTGAGGAAAACTGCATAGAAGAGGCGTTTTGTCTGTGCACATACAACAAAACGCCCACAAAAATGAAGACACACTAATTTTGTGTGTGAAGAGTAAAACACCACTGTGCATGACACCATGTTTCAAAGAATTCCACAAGCTGCAGCACTTCTAGGAACATGTTCAGTGACTCTATATGTGTATATATAATATAGAAAGATAGTAATAAACATTTTCTATTGTTGGTTTGTGTAAACAGGTTTTGTAAACAATATAATGACAACAATGTTTGTGCAGTTATTGTGTAGCTTACAACAAGTGAATACATACCAAATATGCCTTATACTGGTCTCACGGGCCATGAAAGTTAATTGAAAAAATAAAATGTTAAAAAATAAAAGAAAAAAGCAGAAAAAAATAAACGATTACCATTTGACCAGCAGGCGGCGATGCTGCCGTAAGCAGTTCACTTTCTGTGAACTTCATGCCTCTATATCTCGGTAAGTATTGATCACAAATATTTTTTTTAGAATATTTTTCGACCCTGAGTGGAAGTTAAGGATCGAGGTTCTTGACCCTCAAAGGGTTAAGTTTTTGGGAAGTCAAAAGTTATATGTGAATTTTTGACTGCACGGGGGGTTCAGTGCCCCCTAACCCCCACATAGTTAACCCCTTGAGGGTCCGTGCCATAGATCTACGGGCTTTACGTTGAGGGTCCAAACCGTAGATCTACCTCAAAATTCTAGCGGCGTCAAATTTAGTGCAAGAAGGCTGGTAGGGCTACATCTGAGAGAATGGATCAGGGTGGTCAGTGTGCGCACTATAGAAAAAATCTGGATGCCCGCGTGGCATTGTGGGAATGCTGCAAAAGTAGCTTTGTTCATCGTGCCTGGCGGCAAGGAAGCTGTCACTTCATACTCACTCTCCGAGCAAATTCTGACTTTCCTCTTCACAACTTACAGTTCTAAGACTGATGGAAGTGTATCTGAAGAGGAATTCTATTATAAAAAGAAGGATTATTTGGTATTCTGGTAGTGGGTGGGTGGGTGGTTAATGATATATCTTCGGAGGCTTCTTACTTTATTAAAAGGTCGTGGTGGGTGCAGAGGCTTGTGTGTTTGTGCCCATGGCCCGGGCAGGGCCATCCCACGAGAGAGAGCTGGGAGTACTTGTGTCTTCCTGCTAGGCTGCTGTGTGAGTGAGGGCGTGGCAAGGGCCGGCAGGCTGGCGTGCCTACCGAGAGGCCTGGCTACAGAGGGCAGCATCTGAGTGGCGCGAAATATGAACTAAGCTGGCAGACAGCATGGGCTGTCTGTGCAGACAGTACAGGCTGTCTACATATGCTCGGCCACCTACCGCACATCGTCCCGACGCGACAATACTGGTGGTAAAAGAAACTCGGCCTCTCTCTCGTAGAAACAGGTCACAGAACACAAAATAAAAACATATATATACATATGGACATGGAAAAAAAACTTCCTACAGGGAGGGAAGAAAAAACATGTGGGGTGTGCTAAACATCGTGGTCATAGGCAATGAGCGTCTAAGTGCATCACTGCACGCCTTCCTGCGTCTGGACAGATACTGCAACACAGGAGACATCGCTGCGGCTGAGCTGTGACGTAACAGGGTACGGTCTCTGGAACGGTGAAGCAGTCATCGTAGGAGTCGCTGCAGGTTTTCACTCAACCTGGGGCATGACATGCTGGTGCCCTCGAGTGAGGCGTCGACAAAACTCGGCAACTGGGCAGGGCTTCTGGCAAGCGACTCAGGAGGACACTTCTCGACTGGTACTGTCGCTGGGCTGTCACTGCCGGCGAGCGTGGAGAGAGTTGTGGAGCGAGTCGTGGCACAGACGACTGGGCGAAACATCTGGGAGTCGTAACATCATACACCAGACTGCAGTGAGAGAGCTAGCAGTCAAAATGACATCATCTTTGTGCAGGCTGCTCACTGAAGCTTGTGACACGAGGCTGACAGTGTGTCATTCTCTCGACAGTTGGAGTTATAGCAGAGGTTAGTCTAAGCGTCCCCAGACTTGTTTCTCTGCATATAACTGCACTCTGAAGGTCTGGAGGTGAAGTGAACAAATCTCGATGGGAATCGTAGCAGGTACGATTCTGCAGAACATCACGAGCGACGAGCATAAAAGCTTTCTGTACAAGAGGGCTCGGTCACTCGGGGCTGTCGTGACATCAGCTGTCATACGCACTGGTCACACAGGTGACTTAACACAGTGGTGCTACTCAGGTCTGGCTCAGACCTCACTGGACACACGGCAACTTTAAACACATCGCGGTACACTAACATGTGAGAACACTGACTGAGAGGAATTAATTAACACACGACATATATTTTCTCTCAATCTTCTAGACAATACTGAAATAATTACAAGAAACACTCGATGTGACGTCGTGTGATGTCAGGCGTGATGACGTCAGCAGCACTATGACGTCAGCAGACATCTCGAGGTGACATCAGCAGACATCGTGACATGAAGTCGGCCAGCATCGTGGGTGACGTCGATGTGATGCGGGCAGCAGACCACAGCAAGAGGCCTGGGACATCTGGTAACTCACGTGGCTGGTAGATCCACGTGACATCGCCCACACCCACGTGGCGTCATGATCCACGTGGTGTGATCTACGTGGCTTGCTGATCTACGTGGCTTGCTGATCTACGTGGCATGCTGATCTACGTAGCTTCGAGTGGCCTCGGGCACTCTGATACACAACTCTGGCAATGAATTCACATGGAAAACAGCAGAAAACACAGCAGAGGGAGTGGGCAGTGGCGAGTGTATGGTAGACGGGCGAGTGTGAGTAGGGCGAGCATGGGCAAGGTGAGGAACGGCCACTTCCTCTTCCTTCCCCACCCCCCCAAAACACGTGGAGAAGTCAACTGGATGCAGAAATCCCCAAAAAAACTCACCTTTTGGTTTGGGCTGAAACACCCTTGTGCAGAGTGCCAAAAACAGAAAAAAACCCCAACGTACAAGGACGCTAAACCCACGTGATTTAAAGAAACAGTGGGGGGAACACTGTACGGGGATCCCCTTACAATTCTCGAAAAATTTTGGGGCAAATTTCGGCTAGTTCCTGTTTTTACCTGCGCCCTGAAGCTAAAAAACGTCCCAAAACACGACATCAGGAAAAAACTCGTTGAGGGACGGATGCCTTTGTGTAGGGTGATAAAGTAAAGATAAATTATACCTCCCCTTCCTCTCTTGGGAAAAACAATGCGGGCGCCCAACCACTGCTACCTTTATAAAAAGAAGGATTATTTGGTTTTTGGGTAGGGGGGGGGGGGGGTTTTAACCCTTTGACTTTTTCCCAGGGCCCTCTCTAAAACTGTCATTCTAGGGTCCCCAAAATTTATTCAAAAAAAAAAAAATTATTTTTTCTTAAAAAATTTTGGAATATTTTTATATGTTTTAACCCAAAAAAAAAATTTTTTGCCATAGTACTTACCGGGGAATTTTAACCGCAAAGTTTGCAGAAATTGACTGCGTACGGCAACAGGGGCGACTGCCGCCCCCCCGGGTTTCTTTTATTTACTTTTAATTAAAAAGGTTTTTTCTTGCTTTTTCAATATTTTCCCGGGAAACTTATGTGGCCCCTGTGAGCCCATGTAAGGTGAAATTTTTCCCAAATAACACTCTTTTTTTAAAACACAAAAAAAAACCCAAATTTTAAATCACCATTTTTTGTGTAACACTTTTTTTTCCACAAACAAACAATACAAAAAAATTTGTTTATTACTATTTTTCCATAATATATATACAAAAGGTACAGTCACTAACCACGTTCCAAAAAAACTGCTGCAGCTTGTGGAACTCTTTAAAAACATGGGTATATGAAAGGGGGGCCCTTCACCCCCTCACACATAAAACGAGTGTCTCTGCGTGTTTGTGGGCGTTTTGTGGTATGCATACTTTACAAAAACACCTCTTCTGAGCTTTTTTCCCTTGGCAGTGTAGGAGGCAATTGTAGGGGGTTGGTAAATCACCGGGCCTCAAACAGATGAGTCTTGGGGCGGGTCTAGCAGGAGTTGTTTTTTGTACTTTGCAATTATTTGCCCCTTGATTACTGACAGGAAAAAATTCACCATATTTTGGTGTTTTTTTTGGGCCCTTCAATTTTGTATATGTTATAAGCATTTGCATAGAGAAATCAACAAGAGGGAAAAAAAAAGGTTTGATATAACTTATAACTTTTGCGAAAAACAGTGGGAAAAACCCAATCGCATGTCACATTTGCCCCAAAAAAGGCATATTAAGGTTTTAGTCCTTGACAGCTGCAGGTTTTAGGGGGTTTTTCATTTCTCTCTTTTGCCCCTGCCACTGCTACCATTTGTTTGTGTGAATAAATTCAACAATGTCATCACTTTTGTCATCCCACCGAAATGCCATGATGTCATTGGCGCAAAGGCTTGCCCCTCACCTTGCGGTGCCAGGTCGAACCTTGCAAAATGTTTTGCGTTTTCCCCAACGCATTTGGTGCCCACACGTCTGTCAAGTTCACTCGCAAGAAATCCCCTGAGAAAGGGGGCTTGTGTCCCAGTTATTAGAAAAATAAACATATCCCTTACCAAGATAGGGTTTTCCAAATCTTTGTTCAAACCCACATCACCAGGGGATCCCCAATAATTTCATGGTATCTCTCAAAGTATTACGCCAGGGGAAACAAAAAATAATATCTAAAAAAAAGCCACTTTGCAATCACACAGTAAAAAAATAGCTTTATACCAAAGCGTTTTTTCCCCTTGCTTGGTATTAAAATTGATTGAATGAGGCCCTTCCCCTTTTAATAAAATTTAAGGACTCATCAAAACAAGCTTCCTGGGAAAGGGGTAAAAAACATGCAGCACTTTTGTTTCAGGTACATAAAACTTTTTTTTTATATAACCTGCGCTTCTGTCAGCTGGTTTTGTCTGAAAAAGTGTAACATACGCAACAGTTTGGGAAGGGAAAAATTTTTTACCTTTTCCCTTTTAAAAAAGGGGGACAAACACAACGGCCTTTGGGCTGTGCGCCGTGGAAACATTGTGGGGAAAAACGGTCTCCCTCCACCTTGCCTCCTTTCCCCGGTACCGCCTTTTTAGAATTTAAAATTTTCCCGGTTTATTTACAATTTTTTTTTCCCCCGGCCCCCCACTATAAGAATAACCCCCTTCTGTGGCAAAAAAACAAAGGTTTTTTCCATTTTGCCAAAATCTGGGGTCCAAAACCACCTTGTGTGCGGTTTTGGGGTTTGGGGGATTTGTTTTGGCCCTGGTTTTTTCAAGGGTTTTGTTTGGAGCAATTTTATGTTAGGGTACCTGGGTTTCTCAAAAGCCCGGGGCCAGTTACTGGCCCATTTGGGTTCCCCCTGGGGGGGACCCCCCTTTTTTCCCCCCCTTTTTTTTCATTTAAATTTATACCCCCGGGAACAAATTTGTCATCCCCCAAACCCCGTTCGTTTTTGGTTTGGGGCCCGGGTTTAAAATTTCCTTTCCCCCGGGGGGGGGGGGGGGGGGGGAAAAACAAACCATATTTAAACCCCCTACAACCCGCCCCCCCGTTTTTTTTACGTTTTTTGGGACCTTTAACTGGCCCCGGGCCTTCACTGGGGAATTTTTCCACTCCTTTACGGGTTTTTACTTAAAAAACTGGGTTTCAATGACTTTTTAAATCACTATCACTATCACAAACACTGCTATCATCAGGGTGTTGTTAAATACCAAAAGTTTCCTCTTTCGTCCTGGTACAGGGGAACGTGAACGTGAAAAGCCGGGACAGCACCCAAAGGGCCCAAAAGGGTTTTGGGTCATCTGGGTTTTTTGTCACTATTTTTCGTTTTCCCGGGGACTTTTTTTGGTTTAAAACTCACTTTTTAAAACCCTTTTAAATTTACTGTCACTGACACTTTCAACGCTGTTAGAGCTATCACTTGGGAAAAAAAGACCTCCATCCGGGCCCAGGAGTGAGGAACTTTTTTACCGGAGGCCAAAGGTGAAAAATGGGCTGAAAACATGGCTTTCCCCACAATGCAAACCCCTAAGGGCCCCGAATTTTTTTTTACAGGGTGCCCCACCACCCCTGAGACCCCCTTCTCTCCGTGTAGGCCTATCAGGCCCTTTTGGGGCTCGGGTTTGAGCCGCTAGAATTTTTTGCTATAAATCGTCAGAAAATTTTGGGTCGTAAGGGCGTAATTTTTTACGTCGGGGGAAAAAGTCAAAGGGTTTTAAAGAAAAATCTTCGGGGGGCTTTTTTCTTTATTGAAAGGTCATGGGGGTGCACAGGCTTGTTGGGGTTTGTGGGCCCCGGCCCGGGCAGGGCCATCCCCCGAGAGAGAGCTGGGAAGTACTTGTTCTTTTCCCGCTAGGGGCCCCTGTGTGAGTGAGGGCCCTGGCAAGGGCCGGCAAAGGGTGGCCCTGCCCACCCAGAGGCCTGGCCCAAGAGGGCAAACATCTGAGTGGCGGGGAAATATGAACAAGCTGGCAGACAGCATGGGTTTTTCCGTGCAGCAGTACAAAGGGTGCTACACTAGGTTTTCAACCTTTTGGTACAATTTGGGGGCCATTTTCATACAATTTTTAAACCCTATGGTTCAATTTTACCATATAGTTTCAATGTACATATGGGCCCTGTAACATTGATACCCTTACCCTATTGTCAACGACGTTGATGCCACGAGGCCCCCAGCCAAGGGGCTGAGTGGTTTACGACGCAAGCTAAACTAGTGACTCCGCGTTTTTCCCAAAACAAAGTGCTTTGTCAAAACCTTTAAAGGGACATGTCGGGGGATGTACTTTTTTAAAAATTTTATAAAAGAACATTACTAAATTTCAACATTTTTGCATATTTTTTTGTTTTAATTTAATTTTTTTTAAATAAAAATGGGTGAAAATATTTGTGGGCTTATTGTGTTTTAATAGAACGTACCATATGTACCTATTCTAGGTGTAAATTTTAAAGTTTACTATTTTTGCCCTTTTTTCTTTTTTTACTACTGTTCCCCTTGAACTTTGGGGGTTTCCCTTAAATTTAAAATTTTGTCCCTTACATATATTTTCTCCTTTATTTTAGATTTATATAACTACCTCAGTTCATATATTCATATATTGTTAAAATAATCAAGGTGCTATTCTCAGGTGCTAAAGTGTAATAAGTTCACTATTTTTCCATTAAAATACTCCAGGTGCTATTGACTACCTCAGGTGCTACTGATTTTGCTTTTAATACATTCTTTTATTATTATATTCATTAGCTCCTTTATTTTAGCTGTAAATATCTACTGTAGTTCATAAACTCACTTGTTAAAATAATTAAGGTGCTATTAGATGCTTAAGTGTATAACTGAATTATCTATTCTGTAATAATCCCTTTTTCTTTCAAATTTTTACAAGTTTTAGATTAATCACAGAGTCTTAGTCATAAGTCTAGTTGGAGATTCAATATAAATCTCATATCATTATACTCAGAAAATCTAGTTTGCATGATTACTCTCATACTATGATTACAAGCATACATCCTGATGTAAACTGTTTACAAAATGAATTACATGAATCAACCAGTAACTGTAATTACTACACAACAGCCCAAGCAAAGACATTACTCAGTGCAAACAATATCATAACCATCTTTAACTACAATGTCAGATCCTTGAGCAAACATTATGATGACCTCACAGCATTACTCAATTCCCTTCATTCCAATATATCAATCATCACACTCACAGAAACTTGGCTTAAGCCTTATATCACAGATTTCTATACCATTCCTGGCTACATGGCCATACACAACTGTAGAACAGACCAGCAAGGGGGAGGAACAGCTATATACTATTCAAATCAACTCGAATGTATCAATAAATCTTGCACAAGGGAC